TTTCCTAATTTTTCATCAAAAATATCATTTCCAGAAGGTATTGCTGATGAAATTGTACACAATCATTTCGCTTCAATTTGCAATAATTTATTGCGGTTTTCCACTTTCGAAAGATACCGCAGGTTCTTGAAAAACATTATTGATAATGATAATTAATTATTTCTTACATTTTAGCAGCATGCAAACTTTGTTGCAATAACATGCATTTTATTGCAGAATTTGCAGAAAGCACTTATGAAACAATTTTGGAAACAGTTTTCACCAATTCATCTGATCTGTTCTCGAATGAATCGTTTCCAAAATTCTCAATTGACAAGGATATGCGAAAGTAATAGCTTCTCGTTTACATTTATCAAATTACATTCATTTCATGACGTAATTAAATCAACTTTGAAATATTAATAGAAATAAAAAAATTTGAAAATATTATTACTTTTTTTTTACCTTTAAGATAAAATTACAGAAGCATCTCAGAACAGTGTGCCAGAGAGGAGAAAATCCATAGTCTTTATAAATTTGTACAGAGTCGAGTCGGTGATATATTACCAAAACCATGGTTGCTAAAGCATTTGAAATCCTGTCATCCTCCGAATCAGGTATCAAATCCGGTTTTTGCATAATTCCTCGTCTGATAATATCTATCCATATATACTTATATTGGGGTTAACTTCTAAATTAAACAAATATATTAGAGAACCTTTATTGCAATTTTTATTGATGTAATTTTTTTTTTTTTTGAAGAAATTTTCAAAATCTCCTACAATTTTCAAAATCTCCTACATTGTTCCGTATGCGTCAATTAAACATGTCAAGTTGATTGTTATTTGGTTTTCAATCAGCTGTTTCAAATTTATGTTTGTAAAATGAGGACTAGCTTAAATGCCAAAATACAAAAAAAAAAAATTGAAATAAAAAGTTAATATTTTTTGTGTGCAAATAAACAGTTCTCAAAATTTTTCATATTTTATGCTTTGAATTCTGTAATTTTTAATCGAAAAAAAATACCGGAATATCTGTAATTGGAAAATGCTCTTTAATGTGTTGCATTATAGAAATTGTAAATATTCTAAGGTCATTTTTTACATCGTTAATTATTACGTGAATACATACATATGTGTAAAAGATTTCAATTCTAATGAAAAAATTTCTGCGACTTATTTTTAGAATACCGAGAAAATAAATCAGCCATTATGTCGTAGAGAGAAAACTATTGTATATTTGAATTCTGAATATGAGGAATATGTTCCGTCATCTTATGTTGAAATACGTTGCAAAAATCTCGCTGATTATGAGCGAAACGAAGGACGTACAAATATGACGGAACAAGTATCTCATTTTGGAAAAAATTTTTTTTTTTTTTTTTAGAATTAATTTTTATGAATCAAATAATTATCACACATTTGAAGGTACATGTTGCAATAGAACCATTTTGAAATATCATACAGTTCGATAAGTGAAAAATTATAATATTTCGTGCATTTTTTTTTACAAAGACTAATATTATTGAAATATTGTTTAGAAATTTTAAGATTAATATTATTTTAATGTACTTTTTCATATTGATTCTCCAATGACTGGAACGTATAACACACTGAATGACATAACTGAAACATTGAGTAATTAAAGTATTCATAATCCAAATTGGTTAAATTTGCAGACATGTTTGAAAGTATTTCGATGCGTGCAGCAATACGAAGATTTGCATTTTGCGCGTCGAACAACTCGTGATCGTTACTGGAGCTCTTTTACGATTCCTGAGGTACCGCGGTCATGTGAATGTATGCGACCGGTAATATAAATTTTTAACATGGATTTTTAATGCACTATTTTTTTATTTTCCATAGTAAATGTAATTTCTTTTTTTGGCTATGATTATTAATTCAAATATATACATGTCTTTATTTTGCATTTGAATTTAGTTAATATAGCGCTAAAATGCTTAAATCTAAAATCTATGTTTGTGTTTTGGAGTAAGCAAAAAGCTTTAAAATTAGAAGGAAATTATGCAAATAATCTTAACTGTAATTTTTTGATTCGCCAGTTTTGATCGGAAACATTTCTTTGTTAGGAATTCAAAAAACCGAATCATGCGACCGGAACAAACATCCTCAATACTCTTATAAACCAGGACTTTTTTTAACATCTAATTAGGAAACACAATTTAAAAGAATTTTATAAAAACAAAAATGTCTTTCCAGTTAATCAGTGACAATTTCAAGAATGATAACGATTTTGTTGAAGAAAAACACATACCTTATTGGGTCCGATTACAGGAAGTATTTCATTTCAAAATTAAAGTGCCAAAGCTAAATGGCATCCAAAATACTCTTATACTTAACTGATATTATAAATTTTATCAAAGATATTATTATTTGTATCGAAAAATAAAATTAATCTAAAACGGAATTGAAAGTATGGGTGAACTATTAACGTAAATATTATCGTAATATAATTTAACTAATTACATATATTATCGTATGTATATATTATCGTAATATAATTTAACTAATTAATGAAACTATTAAAATGATGCCTAATGATTATTATCAAATCTAATTTTGACATTGTTTTTCTGAATTCTAATTTGTTATTACTTCTGCAACATCAAATGCAACATAAAAAAAGATCGGTATTGGAGATAACATCAGTGCAATAAGATGTTTTAACCAAAATCGGATACCGTTACAGCAAAGTAATAGTAAGTCGGTTATAATTGAACTCATCTGCATATCTGAATTTCTTGAATGCAACTATATTCAGCCTAGACCTCTCTTAGTTAATTTTGGACTACCTATACAGAAGCAATTTCAAGTAGCCGACTATATGATAAATGTTTTTATCTGACAATAAAACTGTCAGCAATGTAAGGATGAACGCAATAATTTGTAAAAAATTAAACTTTCTGCGCTAACCTTTCATTCTAAAAAATTGAAAAATATCGATACTTCAGGGTTTACTTTCATGAAAAGAAAATTTACAATTGATTACGCAATTCAAATTATATTAAATTAAAGATTGAAAAAATGAACGGATTTCATCCATAATAACATCATCCTCTAAATACGATCCATTTCAGATCACGTCTGTATAATACAAATTGTAATGAAATCTAACGTCTCTCTTGACACGTCTGATAACTGTTGTTAAGATCAACGTACCGCATTTTCTTCAGCGAATAAGAAACAAATGAATGCGGTGATAAAATACCCACCTGTTTGCATTATTATTTTCTTTGCAACAACAATTTATACAAAGAATTGATGAAATCACTTTGTTACTTAACATGCCGCTATTGCAATAAACGTTAGTTGCTGAAATTATTATTTGCATATTCTTAGTTTATTTTTTGTTATTTCAAACTTTTTAAAGTAGTAGTAATTAATGTATGAAAATTGTCAAATAATAATGAGATGATAT